CACGAATCATTCATTCATTCATTCAAACCAGCTGTGTCAAATCAGAGAAACATCTGAAAACCACTGCTTTAAATGTTGACCAACACCTGAAGAGCTTCTCTGAGCTTCATGAGACATTTTCTAAATATAATATTGACTCAGTTTTATGTTTTTTAGTGTTGCCTCTGGAAGCCATTTATTTATAAATAATAAATCAGATCACATGTATTAAAGCAGTGATCCTGCATGTTTAGATATTTTCCTGATTTGACACACCTGGTTTGAATGAAGAGTGATTAACAATCTTCTGWAGACCTGCTGAACAGCAGKGAAACMAGTAAAAYGTTGGATAGGGGCTCTCGAGGACCAGGGTTGGSCAGCCCTGATTCACATAAATAAAAACACCTAATGCCAAAGATCAAATCWATTTGTGCAGCTGTAGCTGAAGTTTTCACATTATTGTTGTGACACACACTGAAGAACGTGAGAAACGTACCAAACTCAATGAAGGAGTAGGGCCGCACAGCTCCGCTGATACGTTTGGTGTCATAAGTGACAATAAACTCCTTCTGTAGTTCATCCAGGAAACAGAAGGCCAAAACGTTGGGGTAGTTTGCTGTGCACACCATCAGGTATCCAACACCCAGAGAGTAGGTAAAACTAAAACAAGTACACACAAAAAACTAAACATTACTGCTTTTAATGCAACACACGTCTTTTGTTCTGGTCAGAAACCCGGGGAAACTAATGAGGACGCTGAGCTCCAAATACCAACCTACTTTCAGCTCTGATCACAACTTAAAACACTTCACTTCTTTGATAAAATCTTACATTTTAACAGGTAATTAAACTCAATAAACACATTTATATTCAAATAGCAACTGTGAAAAATTACTAGCCTTGCAGTGTTGATTAATACTATGAACACAAATTAATTTCCCAAGTAAAAAATGATCAACAGTTCAACACGTAATTAAAAGTAGACACCTTTCCATTGCTGTGACTTTTGAGACATACAGTTATTTATACATAATTTTATGATTGTTTTTATTTTGCTCAGGACAAAGAATGAAAATTAGCCAATATAGTAAATTTGGCACATGTATATTATTCTGAATATTAGTTATATGAAATTAAATAAAAGTTGAAATTCAGCCCACAGTCTATCTACTTACAGAATCCTGACTATAAAACAAGCTGGAATAACA